AACTAGGGATGGATAGAATACATAGTAGCTCACGAGTAAGACTTAGTTAGAGGACGTTAGGATACGGCATGTATTATATAGTATATAGCTAGAGCCTGCGACCCTCCACGCCATATACCCTCCGGGAGGTCTGCCGCAAGGGCGGCTGCGCCCTTGCCGCCATGGCGTTAAATATAAAACAAACAAACAAACTAAGCACCCACTTGCGGCAGGCACCTTCAGTCAGACATCTCAATAACATGACCTTGAGGCAATAAGATTTACGAGGAAATTACAAATTATAATACATGAGTCCTGAATTGGTCACCCGATTCCGTTTAGCTCGAATTCCTCTGTTGCAGGACGTGTGACTGGTGTAGTATGTGAAAGTCTAGATGTCCTTCCGCGCATGTCTGCTATATTCTCGACGCAATTTTGGACCGACCTATGCCCGACATCAGCAATGTTGCAAAACGTTGAGCAAAAACATGGTTACTCACCTTGTACAATATGATAGGAATGGGAATGAATAGAATCGACAAGAACCCCAGAAGGGAACTCGCCCAGGGAACCCCTAATTTGGTGAACATGGCGTTCGCGAACAATGGGAACCCCGCACCAAAGGCACTTCTAAAGAGATCGTTTCCGGCAAGCACTGAAGCTGCAACATTCGGATATGCATCAGGTAAGTAGTTGAGAACTGAGTTGAACAGCAAGAAAGACCCGATGCTAAACCAAGCGGAGCCGATGATTGGCATGATCCAATGAACATCCGGTCTCGATGACCAACCAAACCAGAAGAGACAGATTGGGATGGCGAAACCGCCGATGAATGCAGGAGGTAGACGTTTCTCGGGCTGAATGTCCCCGTTTTGGTCGAATTGTGGTTCGAGATACTTGTGCAAGTACCAGAAGAACGGCGGAATGACGATCAAGGCACCGACCAGGATGCCCATGAATGCGACTCCCTGAAGCCCAAGACTGAATCCGTAGATGCCGGTGAATACGATAGGGAATGACTCGAACCAGATATACAGCAACCCATATATAAGTGCGATGTAGAGATTGAGCAGGAACACCATGGGCTCCGTGAAGTTCAAAGTAAACGGCCGAACCAAAGAGATCATCATGACATCCCTCGGGGTCATCTCCTCTGCCATCAGCTCAGACTCGCTCATGAGCTTCTGATTTCCCGTGAGCTTCCGAAGCCGCTTTGCTCGTCGGTATAGAATGTTGTTGGCACTCGTTTCGGGGAGGCAGAAGAAGAGAAGAACGAACGCGAACCCGCTCAGCCACATCAGCTCCCAGATAGGCCAGGTCCAACCCTTTGCCATGACTGCGAACCCTCCGATCGCCGGAGCTAAAGTTGGAGAGCAGACTGCTGCCACGCCCCAAATTCCGATGGCGTAGGCTCTTTTCTTGGGTGACCAGATATCTGCAAGGGTCGCGCCTCCTGTTGCGAGGACAGGCGATCCGACGAATCCCGTGATGAATCGGAAGGCTAGCAGCATGCCAAAGTTGACTGCCAATGCAGTGGGAATTTGGAGTAATACGAAGAGAAAGAGGGTGCTGATGTATATTGGGTTGCGACCGATCTGAGGGATCTCGGACATGGGGCTCCAAATCATCTTCGATGTTCGTCAGCATGTGTTGATATGGTGATCGGGCAGTAGGATTTCATACCGGACCCAAGCCATAACCTGCAACGAAAAGCGTGAGGCCAAGGAGAGCAGCGACCTGGCTGACGCCGAACACCTGCATCACGTCCAATACACCAGCACTGTAGATGGCCGAGCCAATATAGACGCCAATTGTAAGCAGACAAATCTGGAAAGTCACAAAGACCTTCTTCTTCAAAGACCAGTTTTGAGGATTCTAGTCCAAGTCAGCCTATCTGTAGTTCCGCTCGCAATGCTTCGGATGTAGGTGCTCACCTCCGGGTCGTTGGGTAAGAAAGCAACGAGATGGATATTCTTGCCCTTCTCGGGGTCGATCCTTGTGCCACTCAAATCGTTAAACTCCTCGTCGCCAGGCACTCTTGTTCGCGCAGAGTCGACGCTGGTCCCTCTTCTCCAAACATCGTCGTCTTTGTTCTCAGTCTCATCAAACTCCTTCTCGGGTGGTTGTACCTGGCCGTAGCGTGCGACGTTGGCAGTCTTATCCGCGTCGACGTAATCGCGCCATAATTCGGGGTTTCTTTCGTCGTAGTATTGGAACTGTCTGAGTTTACCTCTCGTCACAAAACGGACAACGTGTCCGAATGCTGTATCTCGCAGTAGCTCCATAATCAGTGAACTTGGTTTTTCGTGACACGGTGTTGGGATTCGATGCCTTGCCATCCTTTTGAATCTTGGCTTTCTCCCAATATGCCAGTCGTCATTCATAGTCAGCGGTGTACTGCGGGCAAGTAGGTCGCCTGAATTGTCCGTTATGGAGGTGTAGTGCACCGTGCTGGCAAGGAAGATTCAGCTCATGTTGAGACGAAGTGGCGCCGATTGTCCGTGCCATCAGCAAAGGTGGACTTGAAATGATGAAAGGGTCCGAATTCTATGACGGAAAGACGTTTCGTGGATTGCCTTATTCCCTGGGGCTTTTTCAGACGGATCTGGTGTGACGTTGCTGCATCTAGACTTGCCTGGCGTGCCTGGCAAAAAAGTGCGAGAGAGATCGATGACATCAAGTAATAATTATAGACGCAGTCGATCGGTCAAGACTCCCGAGCATTCCGTTTATTTTGATGTCACCTATTCTCTCGATTTCGCATCGCAGACACTGCCGTCCAAAGTCAGCATCCTGCCCACCACTGATTTTGCCAGAATTATACAGTCAACGCCTTCCCGCAGGACGTCTGATCGAGTATGCCGGTCTTTTATCGTTATCCCTCGCGCCGATATGCCCTAGCAGGCTCATGGTACCGTTATCAATTTGCAATTACCACCATCTTTTGGTCAACAGAGCGCTTCCGTGATCAAGTTGACAATCTTGTGGTTGCTGTTCAAGCTGGGCACTGGCTTCCTCAGCAATAGAGACTTTGAAGATGACTTGAAGGGCTATGTGTGTCTAGCGACAACACAGGTGCGCGCGGCTTCGTATGCCATGGCGGAAAAGCACCTGAAGGGCTCTCTCTCGGAAGCTTCTAAGGAGAGGTCAGCAAGAAACCAAAAAATTGTGAAGCATATTATTCTCAGATCGATCAGTATTTTATGTTTGGGACTCACTTGGTAAAGATCGTTGCCGTGGTTAGAGCAAGACTAAAGAGTGGCAGCAATGCGCGGATGACGGCGGCTGGGATGAGGTGGAAGTTCGTGTAGAACCGAACAGCGCGGATGACGACGCAAAGACGCGACGCGTGAGCTCACGGCCAACAAATTGTGGAAGTTGTTTGTTCACCAAACGCTGCCGCAACATCGGCTTTATTGCGTTTATTAGACCGCGTACATTTTGTCCATCCGCTTACTCTGCTGCCTGGACTCGCAACGCAGCCTCCACGTGTTGCGTCTGGAAAATAAACTGTCAAAGGTACGCCGCCTAGGCTGTCAATTGTAATAAAAGGAGCCAAGAGGGTGCAAGATGAACGATGGAGCCAATGTATTTCTCATTAAGATACGGCTGCGCCCCCAACCTTCGCTGCTGGGGCCTATTCGGGAAGACAAGGTGCAACGGCTTGGAGAGAGTAGAGAGTCATGAGGATGATCCTCTTCCTGCTTCTACTGCCCGAACCGCGACAAAGGCTTATTAAGCATGGCAAGATATCATGGTGTTTTTTACTTGCTTCAGGCACGCACTTCCTGATCTGAATCACATTTAATCAGGTCTTTCACTAGGCGAAATTGGTCTCATTCGTTTTATGCCTTCATCCCTTGTATTCGTTATTGCTTCTAGCTCATGGGACTTTCAGCCCAGGTATTACAGATAACCACAGCAACATTGTCCTCTTCCTCTTCTGTCCCGTATATTCATTCCTGTAGCCCCTTAGAGGTTGTACTGGTGGCCGAAGGAAGGTAGTAGAGAGAATCTAGGGTGCGTCGATAGTACGGATGCGAGCGCGGGTCTGTTGGAGATTGAGGCGCGGGAACAGGGTGGGATAGTGTTTCTCCCGGATATGACGGCGAATCTCGTCACAGCGGCTCTGTCTATACTGGCAGTAGGGGCACACAAGGGTGCTGCCATAGTGTTTCTCGCTCTGTGGCTTCTTTAGGCGAGGGGCCTTGGCTTTGGCAGGAAGGAGTCGAGCCGGACGGAGCTTGGCCGTCTTGCCTGCAGGCTTTTGAGTAGCTTTAGGCATCTGGATTTAAAAATGTTAGTTGGAATTCACTCAGGCTGAGATACGATCACAGGATGAAAGCAAACCTTTGTTGTTTGGTGGTTTGATATGGTGTAGGAATGGATGGCTTTGCAAAGAAGGATTGTCTGATGTAGTGTTTTGTTCCTGTTTTCACTTCCTTCTTTGGGCTGAATAGGAAAGGCAAGAACAATAATGAAGAAGCCATGGAAAGCAGGTGGTGTGGAGCTTCAGATTGAAAGTGAGTATTCTGCTCTCACAATGGAATACATAAGCCTCACTTGACCGCCCAACCTGCGTACTCAAAGGATCTGGTCTGGTTTTTCTTCTCTCTAATGTTGTACTTCACCTCTTTCTTTGGATTGTCAGCTCGATTTTCCTATCGCGGGAAAGTTGGATCGCTGCTCAGGACTTTATCACCTCCATTGTGACCTCAATGACCCAGAGAAATTCAGACTCTGCCTTTGCCTCAGGCTTTCCCCCCTCATATATCAACAGTCGTCTTTCCTTTTCCATCTCCCTTACGGGATCGCCAAAGCCTAACCTTCCAAAATTCGCCTCCTGAGTACATTGATCCGAGCCTCGTCTTCGGTCCCATACCCTGACTTCACCCCCAAAGCATAAGATCTGATTGTAAGTTCTAATGCCTTTGTAACCTGCCTTTCTCCCTATCCACGTCCACTGATTCCTCGTAGGATATAAGAGAACGAGAGAAGAGACAAGAGTCCGAGACGCCATAATGTCGGATTTCAATACGGCGAAACCCCCGCCTCACTTCAAGAAGGAGGGAGTCTTTCACCGTTTGATTGTCGATGAAAAAGCCTTTCTCATTCTTGGAAGAGAGGTTACCCCATCTGCTTCCTCGTCCGCCGCCTACATGGCTCGCCAGTGGCAAGACATCAAAAATCTCGGTCTTAATACTGTCTTGCTCGCCGTTACATGGGAGGTCTTTGAGCCGAAAGAAGGCCGGTTCGACAGAGACTTGGTCGCAAACCTGATTGCTCAAGCTCGTGGGGTAGGTATTCGAGTCATCATCTCGTGGTTTGGCTCTTTGAAGGGTGGTATTGGAAATGGTAAGTTTTTTCGCATTCCCCTATCATTTCATTTCGATTCAATCGTTTCTCTTCCCACAGCGTTGGTACTCACATCATTTCTGCCTCTTTACTCTTGCTCTACTAACTAATTCATGATAGATGTGTCAAGCTACACGCCCCAGTGGATTAAGATGGACCCTGTGCGCTTTCCCAAAATGAGGGTCTACGAGTGTCGAGAGGCTGACGAGGTCGACGTTGATGACGAGGGTGACGAGAATAATGAGATTCCCAAGTACAACATCGACGCATGGTTGACAGTGCCCACGCCCACTGTCTCGCTCTTTGGACCACAGCTCGTCATAGCAGAGAAAACGGCCTTCGCAGAGTTCGTACAGCAAGTCAAAGCCGCCGACCCTGACTACGACACCATCCTCATGTTGCAAATTGGCAGCGAAATTGGCTACTTAGATTGGTCCAGAGACGTCTGTGACGCAGCCTTGGCTACGTTTGATAAGGGCGTTCCAGCTGACTACTTGGACTTCCTCGTCCAGTCTGGCTCAGTGCTTTGTTCTGCTGAGAGTCACGCCTGGGAGGAATTCGCCAGTACTTCCCTAGGCACGGACGAGCTTTTCACCACATATCATGTCGCCAGCCACATCAACGCCCTGGCCAAAATTGCCAAAGAGGCTTACCCTGTCCCGATCATTGTCAATGCTGCTCTCGAACAAGCTGAAGGAAGGAAGCACGGCGGCCCTCTTCCTGAGACCTTGCACCTCTGGAAGCTCTTTGCGCCATGTATCGATCTTTATGCACCACGATTGCTTGATAACAATTACAACGAGACTTGTGAGACCTGGGGCTCGGGTAGCGACCAACCTCTCCTTGTCCAGGCCCATGGTCAATGGGACACTGCGAGTTGCCAGCTTTGGTCTGCATTTGGTTCTCACTACGCCATTGGAATCGTTTTTTCCAAGATTCAAGACATGAGCAAGAGGCATGAATCTATCATTGAGCACTCCACCCTACTCCGCCAAGCCGCCCCCTTCCTTCTGGATGCCCAGGACCAAGGTCACCCGCATATTGGGTTCACCAATGCTCATGATACGCGTCCGTGGTTGTTGGATCCAGGCCCGCTCCATCTTATATCTGGAGAGTTCGAGATCACCCTGAAGAATAGCTTTTGTTTGGCTGCATGGGGCATCATGTACGGTCTTGCCATCAGTCAGGGCAACGGCAAGCTTTTGCTCTTCGGTCGCAACTTCGAGGTTAAGGCCATGTCTCGGAGTGATGACGTGGCTTCTACCCGCATTCTCAGCTTGCATGAGGTGGAGGTCGATGAGCAAGGTCGGTTGCAAGTTCAACGTACGTTCAACGCCGATGAGACCAACGGCTCCAGAATTGCCAGAATGAGTCCCGAGGCCCCAATGATTGCGGAGCTTCAGTTCTATTGTATCAAGAAGTGATATTCAAGGTGTTCCAGTATGGGGTGGGATGGAGGATGATGGAACCGTTGCTGGTACCTCCTTGAATCTTGGGGCGGTGATGCATTTCTTAGACTAATGGAGGCGTCGAATGCCTCAGATGAGCTATTTTCTTCCGATGCCTGTTCAACAACAAAGCAGAATGACTCAAATTCACCATGTTGGTTCACAAGATCAAAAAGGCAGTATCCCGGTCGATTTTCAAATCCCAATTGGTGAGATGTGCGGTCTTCCTGTATGTGCCGCATCTGCGCTGCAGAACATCCAGATATTTGCTGCAAGTAAGCGCCGCCAAGCTACTTGGCTGCCGACATACGATAGTTCTACAAAACCCCGCGTCCTACGATGGCACTACTTGAAGACGACTCTTACCTCTTCTCGCTCGTTTTTGGAATTGACGATAACATCATAGCATCCACGGACATTATTATGCCCGAACCAGTTCGGACCGAAGAGGCACAGGCCATTCAGCCAACCGCTGATGCCCCGTCGGCATCAGCCCCCATCGAGGTTGATAGTGCAGGCAGCGTAAGTGAATATTCTTCTTCTGAACCTCTATAACAATGTCCTGTGACTGATGTCTTTTCCTCGCATAGAACGATACCTCGACTATGGATGATCGCATGTGAGTCCGGCTCCCAGATTGGGACCATTAGCTTCAAGTACAGGCCAGGGCTGATGGGGCCTCATAACAGGTCTTCATACACTGCTTCTCTGTCATCATCAGTAGTGGACTATCCGACAGAATACGGCCGGACATATCACGCGTTTCGAGCTGGTTGTAAGTAGCGTTGCACAAAGCAAACTCAAGTCATCATTAGAGTGAGAGACATATCTAACAACACGCATAGCTTACAACTTTCCCAATGATGAAGTAGGTTTTTACTCTAGGATTTCGTCCTTGAGGTCAACTTGCTGATGACAATCTTTCTGTCTAGAGAGAATCGGACAGGCTTGACTTGACACATACTGTGATGGTCAAGACCATCGGCAATAAGCTCTTCCTGGCACCCATTGACGAAGCTAAGACGCATCGTATACTGGATATAGGCACCGGAACCGGTATCTGTATGAAAACACATGACCATAATCTTCATACACAGAACTGAAGACGTTGATTTAGGGGCAATTGAGATGGGGGACTTCTTTCCCAACGCCGAGGTTCTCCTTTCAACTACTAGCGGTGTCAGTCCCCACGCTAACAATACCGTAGATAACCGGGATTGACTTGAGTCCTATTCAACCGTCCTGGGTACCTCCAAATGTCAAGTTCGAGGTCGACGACGTTGAAAGCCCTTGGGTAGGGAACAAGAAGTACAACTTCATTTTCAGTCGCTACATGGCTGGCTCCATCGCGGACTGGCAACTATACATGACCCGAATCTTTGAGTAAGAGACCCTGGACTTACCTGCGCTCGGATTATGAATAGTAACAATGAACCTATTCAGGAATCTGACTCCTGGCGGATGGGCGGAATTCCAAGACTGGAGCTTGATGCTCGACTCGGACGATGGGTCCCTGAACGGGACTCAGACACACCGATGGGCCACGCTGTTCATGGAAGCCTGCGCGAATCTCGGCCGAGACGGGGCGCCGGGACCGAAGCTGAACACATGGTTAAAAGACCACCGCCTCCAAAACGTCGAGCATCGGCACTACAAGATCCCCATTGGGCCTTGGGCAAAAGATCCTTCACTCAAGGACATTGGCATGTGCAATCTTATTCAGATGCTGGAGGGGCTCGACGCATTCACCTTGAAGCTATTCTGCACCGCGCTGGATTGGACTAGGGAGGAGGCGCTCGTGTTGCTCTCACAGGTCCGCCAGGAAATGAAGGCTTGCAAGTCTCATATTTATTTGCATTTGTGAGTCTGGTCGATGCCCCTTTCTGCTCTTCCGCCCTGAGCAGGCATAGGCAAATGCTAACAAGTATCGTAGCCACGTTGTTTACGGGCAAAAGTCCGAGTCGGAGGGTTGACTTGGAGACTCTTTGGGGTGTCACCCATCCGTTGTAGTCTGACAATTTCTGATCACTTAGTCATTGATCAACAAATAAAACGCTGTTCAGTTGCCAGAGACTTTCTTTCGAAAGCTAAGAACCGAGGCCTGCAAGACGAAGCGAAGTGGTTGCCAAAGCCAAGCCGCAGTAATTAGTGCGGACCGTCGGACGTCATCCTACACCACCTGAGTGACGAGATTATTGGCTGGGAAATCGGTTAAGATCTCTATGTTTTCCCAAAAGAGTCGGTCTTTCCCGTCAATCCTGGAGATCGGGAAAACGAGATGGCTAAATTGGGTTGGTTCCTCCTCTTGGCATCTCTCACCCCGCAAAGTGACAGCGTCGTATTTGACGATTTGAGGATACGGACGTCAATCCGCCGAGAAGTTCCTGCAGTTGGCTGACATCCCCCTCCCGCGCCAATGATTCCGGAGCAATAGAGAGATCAAGAGAGATGCTTTGGAGGGAATCCCGGTATTAATAGCTTAAAAGTTCCCGTGGTGATCGATCAGATTCCAGGAGTCTGAACCAACGTCCCAATTCCCTTGGCTGCCTCCGTCAGCGCCTCTTCCACGATGGTGTCAACCCGTCTCCTCCTGCTCTCAGCAGCCCTTCTCCTCTTCTCTTCCGCAGCAACCACCAAGAAATGCCGCGACGAAACCTTTCAAAACCCAGTCCTCTACGAAGACTACCCAGACAACGACGTCTCCGTCGGCCCAGACGGCGCCTTCTACTTCTCCGCCTCAAACTTCCACTACAGCCCCGGCGCCCCGATCCTCCGCTCCCTCGACCTCGTCAACTGGGAACCCGTCGGGCACTCCATCCCCCGTCTCAACTTCGGCGACGCCTACGACCTCCCGCCCGGTGGTCCCCGCGCCTACCGTGGTGGCACCTGGGCCTCGACGCTGCGGTACCGCGAGAGTAATGGGCTCTGGTACTGGATTGGGTGTACCAATTTCTGGATCACCTGGGTCTTTACCGCCTCGTCCGTCGAGGGACCGTGGTATAACCGCGCCAACTTTGGGGGTGGGAATTGCATGTACGACAACGGGTTGCTGATTGACGACGATGATACGATGTATGTCGTCTACGGCAACGGCCAGGTCAGCGTTTCGCAGCTCGCTGCCGATGGGCTTAGTGTCGTGAAGACGCAGCAGGTTCTCCAAGCATCTGATGTCAACACGGAGACGGTGGAGGGTAACAGGATGTACAAGATTAACGGGACGTATTACATCCTCAACGACCAGCCTGGATCCACGACCTACATCTGGAAGTCGAGCAGTCCGTGGGGTCCTTACGAAGCCAAGATCCTCGGACAGAACATTGCGCCCCCGCTTGAGGGGGGAAACTCGCCTCATCAGGGAAGTCTTATCAAGACTGCGCAGGGGGACTGGTACTTCATGTCCTTCACCTGGGCGTACCCCGCTGGTCGTATGCCAGTGTTGGCACCTATTATCTGGGGCGCGGATGGCTTCCCTGAGATCGCCAAAGGCAGCAACGGTGGATGGGGTTCTTCATACCCCTTGCCACTGCCATCGCAACCTTTGTATAACTGGACGCGAACATATACTTTTGAGAGCGAACTCGGTCCAACTTGGGAATGGAATCACAATCCCGATATCGCGAGCTTCGAGGTCAACAACGGCGTTACCCTCCGCACCGCAAGCGTCACTGAAGACATATACTCTGCAAGAAACACCCTCGCTCACCGCATCCACGGAGAGTTCCCCAAGGGAACAGTCGAAATCGACTTTAGCAACATGGCGGACGGCGATAGGTTCGGGCTCGCGGCTTTCCGAGACCAGACCGCTTACATCGGCATCCACCGCAACGGTAGCGAGTACACCCTCCAGGCGATCCAAGGTATCATCATCGACGAGTGGTCTGGTGATCCGGTCGACCCAGGCAGGGAAGTAGCGTCAGCACCTGTGCCGAGCGGTGCTACCAAGGTGTGGTTCCGTGCTGAACTGGATGCGCGGCCGACGGGTACTAGGGACGCCGACTTTTTCTACAGTTTTGATGGCATCGACTATACCAAGCTCGGTGATACCTACGAGTTGTACTCTGGATGGGCGTTCTTCATTGCGTACCGCTTTGGTATTTTCAATTTTGCCACAACGCAGTTGGGAGGGTCGGTCAAGGTGAACTCGTTCACTGCGGCTTGAGACAATATTCCATGAGTACTTTTATGGATGTCAACTTAATCTGGTCAAGTATTCATACAAGTACATAGGTCGTTGCAGAAAAATATTTCTTGGGTACTTGGGCCTTAACTGAATACTGCCATCGATAGAGACATATCCGTCTAGATTCCAAGTGATGTATCTCGGCAAGACCGCTAACGAAGATTGGAACCTTTCAGTATGGTAACTTCAGAGTAGAACCAAGCACACTACGACGACCAAGAAAAGAAGCCTCTTCTATTTGTCCGCCATATCAACAGCCCATCCAGACGTAGCATCCGACGCACCAACGACCATCGCACCGAACCCCGGAACCTTCGGCAACCTCGCCGACTCAGGTGTGCGCAACGTCCTGCCATCCAGAGAAAAACGGAGACATAATGATCAGCTCAATGACGTCCCGAAACGGAAATATTCTAGAAAAACCTGAACACAAGACGTCATCGCATCCCCATCCCCCCCCTGTTCCGCCGACTCCCACGGCCCTGATTCGCCAGACGATGAACAACCTTCAAGATCGCCACACTGGATCGACCCGTTGAAGAATGTTCAGGTCATGTTGCCGGCATTGTGTACCCAGCATGGCTGTCCAGGGACAAGCCCTGAGACCCTGGATCTACACATCTCAGAATACAACAAGCAAAAAAACAAGGCTATAGACCAAGAGATGGCCGTTTTACGTGTGAGTGGACTTTCATGCCGTAAGAATGAACAAGCTCTTCACCATCCCACTCCCCTCCCTCGAGTCGACGGTCCGCGTACGTATGCGTGACCGCGTCGCCGAGTGTCCCGAGCTCCTCACAGCAGAATCAGGCTGAGCCACGTCCACGAACAACGAAAAAAATCAAACACGGCAAATCCACCGGACAAGTTCCGCTGACCGCGTTCCCCACCCCGTTTTGAAGGAGCGGTCGGCGTTTAATGGATAACCATAGGCGGGGCCGGGTTGTCCAAAGGGACGTTCGTTCGTTGAGTTCCAACATCACCGCCGTTGGTGCTGCTCCCTTACCTAAGGACTTGTATTGTATCTGAGGGACCGCGGGAGTCCACACCGCAGGCACTGTTTCACCAACTCTGCCTTAACCCAATGCCGATACCCTCCAGATCAAAATTTCCCGGAGCTCCTCCCACCCTCATCTTTATTATATCCAAATTTGGCATAATAAAGGGAGGATAATCTCTCCCATCCCCATCCATCCAAAGCGCTTGCCCAATATCCCGGTGCCTCCAAACTGCCCCCCCATGGGGGCGGGTGCGCAAGGCGTGCGCCGTGGACGGAATGGAGGTTCTTGGCAATTGACAAGTTCAACGTTTCTCTAACGGGGACCCAGAAAAACGACTCCATTGAAAAGAGAAAAATACTGCAGTGAAAATCTCCTCCCGAAAAGGGGGGAAAGAAGAGGGTACGTGGATTCTAAGGGTAGTCCTTGTCCGCTCTGTACAGTCCAGTACAGTGTCGATTGTTTTCCTGGAGATGGAGTTTACAAAGGCTTTGATGATCAGACGAAAGCTGAAGAATTGACTTTGTGAGCGGAATTACCTCGGTGATGTGGTGTTTCAGCAATTCTACGCTTGGACGGCAAGGCTCGGCCAGGTTTGGAATCTTGGACTAGCAACTGCGAATGGCCTCAAAAGTTGGGATCGACATTCAAGCAACAAACCTTTTTGAAGCTGAATGGACGGCAACGATTTTGCAGAATAATTCACAAGAGTGATCTGGGGATAAAACATTGTAACTTGAAAAATTGAATTTAAGCACTTGGGGTATCATTCCTATGTACATGACCGTCTTCGACTCTTCTCTTTTTTTTGTTGGTATCCTTGCCTAATGCGCCATAATCCGTAGGCGCCTCTTAGCAAAATGTTGCCAATGAGTTCCTTCCAGTTCACTGTTTCCAAGTGTGACAGAAGACCCATGTGGATGCACACCGTTGCCAAGTATGTGTTGTCGATACTTTTTTGTTTTTTCGACTCGAGGGAGCTGAACAGCTCAAAAACATTTCGGCCTTTGATTATCGCAGTCGCAACCTCCCTCAAGCTCAGTTGTATGGAGAGCTTAGAAGGCGGGCTCCTCGTTGGTAGGGGGGCCAGCGTAGTTCTTCTTGCCCCAAGCAAAGTACCAACCACCAGAGATGAGGCAGGCGGCGACGAAGACGGCAGGAGCGTAGTTGATGGTTGTGGGGGTGACGGGAACGAAGGTGGGCATGCAGAACAAGGGCATGGCAAGAGCAGACCAGGCTGTTGAGGAGTTAGTCTTGTACTCAATAATGAGATGTATTTTGTAAAGTACACTTACCGAGAGAGATGACGTTGGCGGCAACACCAAACTTGCCGAGGTTGAAGGGGCTGCCGACCAGGTGGGTGCGGCCGTTGAAGAGACTGATGCCAATGGGGATGGCGTACGAGGCAGTCAAGCAAATGACACCGACGCCGGAGAAGGCGTTGAAGGCAGCGCTGGAACCAAAGTAAATGACACCGAGGATGATCTGAACAACCATGCTGAGCATCATGGCGTTCAGGGGGACGTCCAACTTGGGGTTAACCTCCTTCCACCAGCGGGAACCAGGGATGGCACCGTCACGGGCGAAAGCCCAGGTGCAACGAGAGGCGGCGGTGGTGCAACCAATACCGCAAATGACGGCCAGAACCATGAGGGGGAAGAGAAGTCCAAAGGCGCCGCCGGACGATCCCATGGCGTCCTTGACGATGGCGGGGACGGGCTGACCGGAAGCCAAGTTGATCAAGTAGGTGATGTCGGGAAGCACGAAAACGAGGGGGATGAGGAACAGAAGACCGGCCAGGGTGTTGAGGCAGACGGTCAAGACGAGAGCCTTGGGGACCTGGGTGGCAGGCTTCTTGACCTCCTCGCACATGGAGATAACCATGCCAGTGGAGGAAGTGGCGTATCCGGCGTGAAGAAGACCGACGCAGAAAGACCATCCATCGGGCCATCCAGAGTTGGCCTCGAAGTGGGTGAAGACGTATTTGGCATCGTGACGGCCGTTCTTGGCAACAACGAGGACGGCGATGATGAGGGCGAAGACACCGGCGAATGTCCAGAAAATGGCGGCGGACTAAGTCACGAGAAGTTTAGTACACTTTCATTTCACAATCATATACAACACGGAGCACACGGGAACAGAATCATTCTTACATCAATGATGGGGAGCCACTTGTTGCCAAGCGAGGACACAAGGTTGCAAATAAAGGTCAAGCCCAGGAAGATGAGGAACACCTGGTACGGCTCGCCGGCAAGGACGCCGACACCAGGTTCCGACTCAAAAACGTTGACGCATGCGACGATGAACAGGGCAGTTCCAAAGTTCACGGCCAGAGTGATGGTGATGTTTCCCACGACGTACAACCAGCCGCAAATCCAGCTGGCCACGCGGCGGTATTTGGGAGAGGACAGCATGAAAGCTTGGTAGTAGACACCTATTGAGAGAGAAGTCGTCAGCATTAAGTCCGGATTTGGCGAATTTCGGAGCCGGCCGGCCGTCGCAACGGCGAACATGACGGGAAAGAAATGAGTTGGTAAGTACCTCCGGCAGTAGGGTAGACACTGGTGATTTCACCGAGCGAGGCAGCGACACAGATAATGATCAAAGACACGGCGAGCCATCCCCAGATAATGTTCACCGGGCCACCGCCAGCCAAGGGGTAGATCATGGTAGTGGCAAGACCGTAGGGGATAGCAGCGAGGACGAAGGACATGAAGGCGACCTGCAGCGTTGAGCGATTACGCTCGAGCTCAGGCTTGTAGCCCAGAGACTCGAGCATGTTGTCGGCACCGCCATCGTCGGAACGGGAGGGTCGGGTGGTGTAGCCATCTTTGATATCGCCCTTGGCGAAGCCGACATCGTGCTCGCGAGCACCGGGGTCTTGCGAGAGCACATGCGCCATGATGAGTGCCCTTGATGTTTGTTTGACTATACTATCTGTCGAGTAGCAAGCCAAAAGGGGGGCGCTCAGAGGCGATGAGAGAGGGAGGACCGGAAAAGAGAAAGATTAAAAAGGTGAGACGACTCTTCCAATTGACATGAGGGACAGTGAAGGCCTTATGTGTTTTGGAAAGCCAAGAGGAAGGGAAGTTTATTTTGGGGGAGTATCGGCCGTGTGTAACTGGAACTGAAGTATTCCAGAGCCGAGCAGATGGGAAGACGAAGAGTTTAAAAGGAAGGAGGAAAAGAAAAAGAGGCAAAAATCGGCAAGGGTCGAAAAAAATAGACAAACGAGACAAATCAGACAGACAGGCTGCCAGAGACAGATTGACTGACAGCCGGCAGGGAAGGTCTCGATTGAGTTGAGGCAGTCCTCAGTCCTCCTCTTCCTCCTCACACCTCTCCTCCTCAATGTAGGTACAATCTCCAGTCAGTGCCGTCCTGTACTGGGCTATCAGTCGGTTCCTCTCACTCCCTCCTTGGTGTCGCGTTCGCCGGGATGGAAGAATGACGTCCATCTCATTGGATGTGGACGTGGGCTGCGGGACCAAACCCCCAAAGAGTTGTAGTGTACCTTCGACACCCCCCATGCCCATGTCCATTTCCTTTGCCCCCCCCCCCCCCCCCCCCCCCCCCCTCTCTCTCTCAGCCCCTTGTCCGTCCGTATGTAGTCGCATGTCTCGTCCTATCAGTGCCAGTCCCTGTACCTATCTGTCCATACTCCGTACAGGATACAGGCGCCGTGTGCACTGCTGGGCGTGGGCGGGCTCGCACAATGTCGATGAAGGGTTCCTTAGCGTAGGTTCCCTCAACTTGCGTCTGTTTATCTCTCGCGGCCTCTTGGTCTGACTCGGGGTCCCCGGTGGATTCGACCGGTGCCACAGCAATCTTGTTGCCCACACACTCTGACCTCTCCAAGACTTGCCGAGCAGTCAGCGCGGGTAGCATGGGCGCTCTCTCGCTTACGGACGACGTCCTGCGGCACAGTGAAGGGCAACGCAACGCCTGTGTGCAAGGCAAGGCCGAGAAAAGAGCTGAGGT